TTTTTGAGACATAATGATAAGCGCTCTGGTGGCATAGTGGGTAAGGCATTTGGCTGCTAACCAGAAGGTCAGTGGTTCAAATCCACCATCTGCTCTGTGGAAGGAAGATGGGGCAATCTACTTCCATAAAGATTTGCAGCCTCAGAAACCCAAAGGGGGTCACTAAGAGTCAGAATCAACTTGATGGCAGTGAGTTTGTTGAGTCTAGACATAATGATCAGTGACATTGATTACATTCTTCACATTGTTTCAGCATTCTTATTTTTCTGTTCTAGTTGTTTCACTTCCATTTATACAGTCTCTCTGCCTACCCCCCAACTTCCACATGTATGCTTTAAGAAAGCTGTTGACTCTTCGGTCTTATATATTTTCTCCCTTTTTATCAGGATTCATCTATTGTGTTCCTGATCAGAACATTCAGTAGTGGTAGCCAGGAATCATCTAGTTGTGGTCTCAAGGAAGAGTTGTCAGTGATTCATGTGCACAGTTAGTCCTATAGTCCAGTTCCTTCTCAGATTCTTGGGTTTCCTTCTATCTCTTTTGTTACAGATGAATAAATGCCAATAGTTGTATTTTAGATGGCTGTTTATAAAGACCTCAGACACTACTCACCAAAATGAGTAGAACAGAAATTTTAAGAACTATATTATGCCAATTGGCTGGATTGTCCTATGACACCATGGTCCTAAGCCCCAAACCAAAAGAATTAGTCCCATGAGGTAACAGGTTATGTCTCATTAGTATCAGCATCTGCAGTACCATCATTTTTTTTTTTTTTCGGTTGTTTTTATTGTTACAAAACCACACACAACCTAGTATTTGCCCACCATTCCCTCTTTCTTATGGACAGCCTGTTGACATCAGTTACATCAGTCATGCTGAATGAATATCATCCGTATTTGGTGCCACCTTTCCTATTTATATAAATAAAAAGTAACTTTTACCTAGGGAGTACCTCTCCCTCTCCTCCAAACATTTCCCCTGGTAACCAGTGATGAACATTAGTTTCTGTATATATACCATTCATGTCATTTTATAAAAGTGAGAATATACAGTATTTATTTTTTGTGACTTATTGTGCTCAACATAATGACCTCCAGGTTCATCCATGTTGTAAGATATTTCAGAAACTCATTTTTATTTATCACTGAATTAAAACCCAAAACCCAACTCACTGTCATCAAATCAATTCTGACTCATAGCAACCCCTCCTTGGGTTTCTGAGGTGGTATCTCTATGGAAGTAGACTGCCTGGTCTTCCTTCTGAGGAATGGCTGGTGGGTTTGAACCGCCAGCCTTCTGGTTAGCAGTCAAATGTCTTAGGCACTTTTCATTATATGTATGTACCACATTTTACTTACCTATTTATCCATTGTGAGCACTTAGGTTGTTTCCATCTTTTTGCTATGGTGAATAGTACTTTAATGAACATGTTGTTGTTGTTGTTGTTATGTGCCGTCGAGTCGGCCCCGACTCATAGCGACCCCTCCTTGGGTTTCCGAGGCATTATCACTACGGAAGTAGGATTGCCCAACCTTCCTTCCGAGGAGTGGCTGGTGGGTTTGAACCACCAGTCATCTGGTTAGCAGGCAAGTGTCTTAGCCACTATGCTACCAGAGCTCCCTTTTTTAATGAACATAGGTGTGTGTATATCTGTTCATTTCACTTCTATTAGATCCCTAGGGAATATAACTGGGAGTGGAATTGCTGGGTCATATTATACCAGCTCTAACTGCTAGTTTTTTGAGGAGCTGCCAAACTGTTTTCCAAAATAGTTTACCATTTTGCATTCCTACCAACAATGGATAAGTGTTCTGATTTTTCTACATTACCGTCCAACACTTATTTTTCCTTTTTTCTCTTAGTCATCCTACTGGGAGTGAAATTGTGGTTTTAATTTGCATTTCTTTGATGACTAATAATGTTGAGCATCTTTCCACGTGTCTTTGGTTATTTGAATATTGTCTTTGGTTAGTTCATGTTCTCTGCCAAGTTTTTGATTGAATAGGCATTCTTTTTGAAACATGAATTCAACTAGTCACCATCAACACTGGCATCATTGAGTTAATATAAGAGAGCATTTCTGATATTCATATTAGAGCTCCAAGACTAGTCTAGTCTCTAGCAGGTCTGCAACTCTGCCTTTTCACCTCTACCTCTACTCTAATGGAGTCTGTGGTCTCCATGGGCTTTATTAACTTGAGGGTTTACAGTGCTGAACAGAGAAGTGAGAGAGACTGGAAAGTGAGGGGGATAGATGATTGTGGACACAATGAAAACATGGTAGCAGTAGTAAAATTGAAAAGTAAGTGATTGTTTAGAAATATCTCTTTCGAACTTCTGTATAATCACTGGCATTGACTTTTCTCTCTCCCCCCCCCTTCACAGAAATATGAGTCTGGGTGCAAAAGCAGAAATAGCAACAGATAAACTCTCTTTTCCTCTTAAAAATATTACTCGAGAGCACATAGCTAAAATGATAGCTGGAAACAACACTGAAAGCTCAAAAACACCAGTGTAAGTTTGTTTTTCCTGTTAATATGGTGTGAATTGGCATATATAGCTGTACAAAATTACCATCTACAAATTCACATGTGGAAGAAATGCAATGGTCTTCATTCCTCTAGAGCTCCACTGAATTTCAATTGGGAAGTTCCATTTTGTTAGATCAAAGAAATTTAATCTCAGGTTTTCTACCCATTTTCTCTGGGGTTACATCTAAGTTTTGAATGAGAGCAACTGGGAGTAATTATATAGTACCAAGGTTTAGGGAAATGGAGGTAATCTGTCCTTGGTAAGAGGCTGTCCTGTGAACTTCCACTGAACCACTCTTCCAGGTCCTCTGTCTTCAGTCCACCCTGCAAGCCTCTAGGTTTGGCTCTTAGACATTTGGGTCCTTTTCTTGAGCACTCTGGAAATCACTGTGCTGATGTGCATGCCATTGTAGGAGTGGGAGTGCTGGGAGGCTCCCTGGGTCATCTGTCCAGATACAGCATGTGGCCAAAAATATTCCATCATGGTCGATAAAACAACTAAAATTTAATTACATCTTTTTCTCCCCTCCAATGCACAGGACTATAGAAAAGATCTACCCTTATTATGTGAAAGCACCTAGTGATTCTAACTCAAAACCTATAAAGCAACTTTTATCTGGTAAGAATGAGAAGGAATCATTGCAGATCTGTTTTTAATCATACTTTTATTCCATGTCAACAGTTTGAATATTCACCTTTTATCAAGTTCCTTTCCAGTTATCTTTCCCTGTGGCATGGCTTATAAGAAGCATATCCCTGTTTGCCTTCACTAGTCAGAGTTAGTCACCCAGAAGCCACACTCTTAATTCTTTTCATTGATGTAGAATCTGATTTACTTAAATCCATACTTAATGACTTATGTTACTGATTAATAAGTCTGTTTGTTTCTATTAGCAGCCATATCTTTTGCAGAAAACCATTTCATCTAGTGTCAAATAGGATGACCCCTCAAAATAAGAATAATAAAAAGATAATATGAAATGTATTTGATTCAGCCCAGGTTATTAATTGTCAGTAGTAGGGCTCTCATGATTTTACTTTTCCAATATAATAATAATAGTAGTAAATTATTATTTTTGGCTTCTTTTAATTATCAAGAATTATTTATCTTAATTACCTATACCAGCAGGAGACCTAAACAAGTTACCTATACAGGTAAAGATTAATAAATAATGCAGTTATCCAACACATGTCTGTTGAGACGAACCCATCTCAAAACTCATCTCTTCTGTGAAGTCCTCACAAATTACACCAACCACAAGTGTTCTGTCCAATAGACCTTGTCAATACCAGTCCTGAGTTAGTTGCCACACATCCATAAATTGTTCTGGTGTCTGTGCCCTTTTTCCCCTAGAGATAAGAAACACTGTTATGTGCCATTTTGTAACCCCTTTGAACCTAATAGAGTGCCTAGACATTCAATAAATCCTGGTAATATAAATGAATCAGTCATTTCAATAAAAGGTCACTGATTTGAGTTTTTAAAGATCTATTTAATTGTTTGGAATTATCAACACAAATGTTCAGAAGATGGATATTCAACTTCCTCTTTATGTTGGCTACTATGCACATAACAGCTATGGTGCATGGCCTCATCACCTGAAAAAATGAAACCCCTTACAGGTCCTTTTCCATTCATATTATCTTCATGCCCTTATGCCCTTTTCATTCTAGAACTGTGTGCTGTAGATAGTAACCAAGGTTGGTCCTCTATAAACTGTTGGTATATATTCCAAAATTCTTAACACTGATTTGTTTTCATTTTTCTCACCTTATAGAAAATAATTTCATGAATATCACCATCATTTTGTCCAGAGACAATACAACTGAATCTAACAGTGAATGGTGGGTTCTCAATCTAACTGGAAATAGAATATACAACCAGCATGCTCAGGCCTTGGAGCTGGTGGTCTTCAATGACAAAGTCAGCCCCCCCAGTCTTGGGTTCCTGGCTGGTTACGGGTAAGGATTTATTTCACAATAAACAGTTACAAAAGTGTATATCTGTCATCATAGAAAGTTTATCTTCTTAGAATTCTAGGATTTTGTAACTCAATATTAAAATTTATATCTTTTATGTTCCTCATTTTGAAAAAATGAGGAACCAGAGTCCCAGAGATCAAAGTGCTGTGGAAGTCCATAGTGAGGGGTAAGCCTAGAAGCCATGTTTTTTGGCTTCCTTACTCAACAACTTACTGTTGTGGAATAGTTTGATGTCATTCAGTGTTTAAATTTAAAAACAGGCATAGAGTTATCTCTTTTTTCTCCTCTGAAACTTAGCAGATATGATCAATTGAACACCATAGTTTTGGACAGGTTAGATATTATCATATCATCACATTCTGAAGGTAAAATCTATAAGACACTTCTCAGAATTAACATCATCATAAATTATTTTCCACTCAGAATTTCATTATAAAATTGAATCTCTAAGAAAGATATATATGTGGTACATTAAAAAATGACCAGGACATGTGGTACATTAAAGTGAAAAAAGTTGGTTGCAGAAAAGTGCATGTAGTACAATTGCATTTCCACCAAGCATATTATATAATTTATGCATATAATATATGCAGTAAAGCCACTTGAAGTTGATACATGAAACTGTAAATATTGGTTATTTCCAAATGTGAGATTGAAAAGGATGTTTTTATTTTTCAAGGAAGAGTTTTTTATTTTTCAAATCTTATAATTCTAACATGTATATTTTTTACAAAGAATATATATTACCTTTTTACTCAAAAAAAGGTTAATTTTTCCACCAAAGAGAAAGAAAATGTAATATTTGAAACCTTATCATATTTTCTATGATATGATAGAGTTTGAGGGAAAATGTAATTATTTTTTTTTCTTTTAATATTATATTAATCATATTAACTTGCTAGACACAATTTCTACTTAATTTTTTTCTTCAGTATCATGGGATTATATGCTTCAGTTGTCCTTGTGATTGGGAAGTTTGTCCGTGAATTCTTCAGTGGGATTTCTCACTCCATCATGTTTGAAGAGCTTCCAAATGTGGATCGAATTTTGAAGTTGTGCACAGATATTTTTTTAGTTCGAGAGACAGGGGAACTGGAACTAGAGGAAGATCTCTATGCCAAATTAATATTCCTGTACCGCTCTCCAGAAACAATGATCAAATGGACTAGAGAAAAAACAGATTGATACTTTAGGACAAAGACTACATATAAAGTTAATGTATGAATTTAAAAAAAAAAAAAAAAAAAAGCACAATATTCTCATAAGAGCTAAGCATTTTCTACTTCAATGGAAATGGTTTCTCTTCTGACAGGTGGCCAAAGGAGTTCCCTTTCTTTTGAAACAAAAGCTACCTTGGTAGTTAAGGCTCTGCTGAAGTTCTTTGTAATTCCATTTCTTTGATATCAGGGTTATTTGCTTTGTTTTAGTCAATAATGTCTGCATTCTGATTAACTACATGAAGGAATCACTTGTGGTTCCCCTCCCTCAGAGAATGCAGAACAGAAGGAGCAGCCCCATGTTTCACTCTGCTGGGGCTGCACCTTTCTAAAGAGACGCCATCACAGAATATACACAATATACTGCTCTCCATCTCCAAGTGGGAAGCTGCTGTGATGAAGCTCCGTGAGCCTTCAGCACACCCTCAACATGGACAGCAATAGAAGGCTGACCACTCTGGGGATGGGAGAGAAGGGTTAGGGACCCGTCAGGACACCAGTGGAAGGAAAAACCTCACTCTAAGCAAAAAGATAACAATTAGTGACACTCTTACTGCCTTATCTTAACTCAAGACTAATTAGACATGTTTCCATTAAATACCGGTGACTTCTCAGGAAAAATAAAATCAGCAAAACAACTATGTTGACACCTGGCTTGTAGAGGTGACTGTTCTCCTTCAGAGAGTTCCTGTTCCTCATGAAATATAGACATGAGACAAAGGAAAGACCACCACCCCAGTTGCATTTGGAACACTCTGACTTTGTAACTCTTTAATAACTGAGGTCACGATTGCTCTTCGGCCTTATCCCTACCCCTCAACATGCTTTTTCCCATGTCGATCATTTAAGGCAAAGATTTTTCCAGTATGTGACATTTTCCTTCCTATTTTTCAGGTATATCAAAGAGTTTACATATTCCAATTCACATTTTTACATCTGAGACGGGTTTTTTAAGTTCATAATTATGAAAGAAATATGTATATTGAGCTTGGGGAAATAAAAATGGCTTTTTCTTAAATTATTATTATTGGTAATACCACATCATTATTAAATAACAATGTAGCATGAAAAATGTATGATTGAAATGTAGTTTTCATTCCATATTAAAATACAGTTTCTGAGAAGAATCATTGAATGGGCTAGAATATGTTTAAAAATGATACTGTTTGGGTTCAGGGCTGACTAAATAAAGCACGTGTTGCAAAGCCATTTTCAGAATAGTCTTTATTCTCTCTTTGCATTAAATATTTTCAGTAGTGTCCAGGAGTTAAAAAAATTCAGCTGAGATGAAGAAGCTACTTTGTGTTGGCTTTGTTGTTTTTCTCATTTGGGTGCACATGAAGTCAAGGCATGTGAATAGTATAAGCAGGAGACAACAGATAACAAATTAATTTCCATAGAGAAAACTGTCATAAATACAGAATTTTAAAAAAAAAAAGTAGAGTTCACATGGTGTTCAATGTTTCCAGGCAATTACTATAGATTTATTCTCATGCTGTGAAAGCCAGCATAACTTGGATCACTGAAATAAACTTTCCAGTCATTGTGATGAAAAACTCAGACCATTTTAGTGGGTCTCTGCAGAGGACATTGTGATTCCTCAACAACAGGAAGAATTATTGTGCATATTTCTGGTTGTGAATTTTTTCTTTTAAAAAATTCAACACGAGGAATTTTCTGAGACCAAATTTTTTAGGAAAGAGTAGGCAAATGCTCATGAGAAGAAAACATAAAAATGGCCAGATATGAGAATTAAAATATTCCTCAAGAAAACAATTTTCAGCATTCAAGAAAAAAGCTTCCAAGTATGTTAGAGGAGAAATATAGAGACCAAACTTGCTGTCCTAAGAAAACACACCTCCAGGGAGATGGGTTCAGCGTGAGAGCCATAGAGGTGAGGAAGTCTGGCATTAAGCTTGGCTCAGCCACTTTGAGCAGGGGAACCCTGGCAAGTCAAGACATATTTCCAAGCACCACTCTTCTGACAACATGAAGGGATTTGCAAGACTTATCTAGCAATAGCCTGAGCCTCAAATGTGTGCATTCCCTTCCCAAACGGACACCCCATTACTAGAGCTACCTGCTACCTTAGATGGGCCCTCTGTTAGAGAGACCCATGAGGACTTTGGGGGAAGGCCTCGCAGAAAGAACTCTGGTAAGTGAGGAAGACAGGTACTAGGCAGAGGAAGACCCTCCCCCACAGGTCAGTGCCACTGAGCTTTGGACAGTCTCATAGAGTTCAAGAGCCAGGTGGCCTTCAGTTGTCCCAAGCTAAAGTAAGATGTTTTGGTGTCTGCATCAGCAAGCCATTGCCAAAGGCAACTTTGACAGAGGCAAGCCCCTGTGTCTGAAGGTGATTCCCATAAGGGACACATCTGGTACACCTAAACATGTGGGTCATGAAGAGGGCACCCGTGGAGACCCCAGTATGTGACAATCTGCTTTTGTGTGACTCAGATCCATTTGCTTCTTATAGAAAGATGGTTCAGTAGTAGAATTCTCACATTCCATGGTGGAGATCCAAGTTCAACTTCTAACCAGGGCACCCACCTCATGCATAGTCACTACCATTTGATAGTGGAGGCCTTCACGATTCTGTGATACTGAACAGGTTTCAGCAGAGCTTCCAGACTGAGACAGAGTGAAGAAAGGCCTGGTAATCTACTTCCAAAAATCAGCCAATGAAAACCCCAGAGATCAGAACAACCCAATCCACAACTGATATTGGGCAGTATTTCATTCCATCACCATGAGTCAGGTTCCAACTTGAGAGCAGCTAACAGCAACAAGGTTTTATTTCCCTTTCAGTGAAGAGTAAAATGCAGTAGCCCCTGCTGTTGCAGTTGGTCAGAGACCATGTGTGGCGATTATGTTTTTGTGTCAGTTTGGCTAGGCCTGGTTGAGTGGTTGAGTGCCTAGGCAACTGGATGTTGTATTCCCCATGATGAGACTGGTAATCAACTCCATGGTGGGATCTACCACAAGCACAAAGTAGCTGCCTTTGGGTATGTGGTCTGCTTCTCATATATGAGCAGGAGCTTTGGGAATGAATGGTCTCTGGCTTATGGCACACTTGGATCCTGCATGTAACCATGTCATTATTCAACAACCTGCCATGTTCTACCAACCTTGGGACGTCACCCAAACGTGGCCTCAATGTCTCTCACTCTTCGCTAGTACCTCTACTGTTCCAGGCTGCCTGCTGGGTGGGAAGAAGACTCTAAACCCCAAGAGACCCAATGTCCTACTCCCTACATCCTCTTTGGGTTGTGGCAGTCTCCCCTAACTCCTTATTAATTCTGAGCATGGGAGAACCAAGAAGTGCCCTCATTTTCCTCCTGCATAGCCTGTACCCATAGCCCTCTTCCTTCAGATAACCAGGGCAGGTACCCCCATCAGTGTGGACCTTTCCTGACCAGATCTGTGGTACTGATTCACTCTTATTTTCCTAGTTTAGTCATCCTTCCTGAAATAAATGCTTTCTTTTCTTCACTAATTTACTCCTAAATTCTAGCACTTCATTTCTAAGATTTTGCATTCTGATTTATCTTGCTCTTTAATATCTTCTAATTAGTTTATCTGAAACTTGTTCTTGAACAGAAAGTAGTTAAAGCAAATGGAAGAAATAACAAGATCAAAAAGCTAAACAGAAGATTTCAAAGAGTAGCTCAAGAAGATGAAGTCAATTATTATAATGAAATGTGCGAAGACCTGGAGTTAGAAAAAAAGGGAAGAACACACTCAGTATTTCTCAAGCTGAAAGAACTGAAGAGAAAATTCAAGCCTTGAGTTTCTATATTGAAGGATTCTATGGGTAATATATTGAATGATAAAAGAAGCATGAAAAAAGAGAGAAGGAATACACACAGACACTATACAAGAATAAGTTCATCTATTTCAGGAGGTGGCATATGATCAAAAATCAACAGTACTGAAGGAAGAAGTCAAAACTGCACAGAAGGAATTGGTGAAAAACAAGGTCTCGGGAATTGATGGAATACCCATTGAGATGTTTCAACAGATGGAGGCTGCACTGAAGGCATTTACTTATACATGCCAAGAAATTTGGAAGACAGCTACCTGGCCAACTGACTGGAAGAGATCCATATTTGTACCCATTCAAAAGAAAGGTGATCCCACAGAATGTGGAAACTATCAAACTATATCATTAATATCACATGCAAGTAAAATTTTGCTGAAGATAATTCAAAAATGGTTGCAGCAGTATATTGACAGGGAACTTCCACAAATGCAAGCTGGATTCAGAAGAGCATGTGGAACAAGGGCTATCATTGCTGATGTCAGATGGTTCTTGGCTAAAAGCAAAGAATACCAGGAAAGCTGTGTTTTACTGATTATGCAAAAGCATTCGACTGTGTGGATCATAACAAATTATGGATAACATTGAGAAGAATAGGAATTCCAGAACACTTAATTGTGTGCATGAGGAACCAGGAGGCTGTCGTTCAAACAGAACAAGGGATACTGCATGATTTAAAATCAGGAAGGGAGTGTATTGGGGTGTATCCTTTCACTTATTCAATTTGTATATTGAGCAAATAATCCGAGAAGCTGGATTATATGAAGAATAACACAGCATCAGGATTTGAGGAAGGCTCACTAACAACCTGCAATATGCAGACGACACAACCTTGCCTGCTGAAAATGAAGATGACTTGAAGCACTTACTGACGAAGATTAAAGACTATAGTCTCCAGTATGGATTACATCTCAACATAAATAAAACAAAAATCCTCACAACTGGACCAATAAGCAGCATCATGATAAATGGAGAAAAGATTGAAGTTGTCAAAGATTTCATATTACCTGGTTCCACAATCAACATCAATGGAAGCAGCACTCAAGAAATCAGAATACCTATTGCACTGGGAAGATCTGCTGCAAAAGACCTCTTTCAAGAGCTGAAGAACAAAGATGTCTCTTTGAAGACTAAAGTGAACCTAACCC